TTATTAACTTTCCTATCCGAATTTACAATAACATGAAAACCAAACCGTCGGTTTTGGCTTTGAACCTTTACGTATTTCTTTAGTAAGAAACAAAAAGAAAATGAGACTTTTAGAAAAGTTGAAAATTATCACTGACATATAGTTTTAGGGATTTCTAAAAACGTTTTCAACCAAATCGGATAAAATTTGATGGAAATCATCATCAACCAGAGTGGAACTCTATGAAAAATCAGGATTTTCTAACCAAAATCCATTTCAAGATTTCTCTTCGTCGAACACATGTCTTCTTATTTTTAATGCTTTATCTATGATAAAAATTCCAGTTTGATCAATTCTACCGTTTTCGAGAGCTAGAAACAATCAAAAGAGGGAGAGATAACCTTCCTTAAGCATGTACTTTGTCATTCATCGTAAATTGTGATTCTCACTTTTTTTTATAGAAAGAATCAACACTTTGATGAAATAGATAACAAACCAAAGACAGTCGAACCAAATCAAAGCCATCCTATGAATGATTATGAAAATGATACTCTTACTGAAACGGTTAGTGATTTATAGTTATAGTTGTACGGATTCGTGGGATAATTCCTTTTAATATGTTTTTCTCTTGTACCAGCAGTCCGTAAAAACATCGACTCCAACATCAACTGCATACGATGATTATGTATTATTCATTGTTCATCTTTCGTTTTTCCGGAAATTTTTGTGTGCCTTTTTAGGAGGTCGAAGATTATTCAGAAAAGTCGAAGACTAACGGATCAACAAGTAAGTTTTTTTAGATTTTATCGTTCTAAAGATTTCATTCTTGTTTGCTCCGAAGAGAATCATTTTATTAGAGTGTAATACCTGATATTATCATAGAAGTTCGCGTTTGTGTCTTGAATACAATGATATAAGAGTTATGTGAAATCTAACATCTAATTTCAATGGTTTCATTTCCTAATCAGACGCTTTAAATCGAAAAATAAATTCATCAATATTGATATTAATAAATGTTGCTTATCGAAAAATTCGTTTAAAGACCTTATGTCGAAGTTTGAACGAAAATTCACAATCGGAAACATAACTAAGACTAGACCTCGATGATATTATTTTGCCTTGACTTTTTATATTGCTTTTATATAAGAATACGATATTTGAAGAATTTGTTATACAAATTAACTTTTAGATAAGACTGTCGCTTCCAAGCCAAGGGTTCAATCTGACAATCAGTCAAATAGAAAAAGTGAGTGTTGTTTAACAAACATGATGTACTCATATTGATCTCATATTAGTTTGAAATTTTAGGGTTTTTTTTTAAATATGAATGTTAAAAGAATTTTTCCAGAGATATAATATGGAATTCATATAAATTGCTTTTTTCTTATAATAGAACAATTCGTTAATTTTTTTTTTGTTTGGGGTATATTAATTATAACGTGATCAATGAACAACTTCTTTCTTGAAGATTTTCAATTTATTAAAGAAAATAAAATAATTTAAAAGTTCTTTGAAATGTAGGATTAAATCTATATACGTATCTTTAATATTCATAAACTTCTGATAGAATAATATCGAGAGAATAATTTTTTCTGATATCTGATGAATTTAAAACATCAACTCATCGGCACTACCAGTAGCAAGCTTTTGCCTAATAAGTTACAACGCAACAGAAATGGATATAATTATATGCCATTAAAGCCTCCTACAATCAGTCTAAAAAAAGGTGACTTTCATTATAAATTCTGATATTAAGATTTTAAGATAGTTAGATAGCCCACATTGCCTACTTTTGAATATACTATGATTTATCAATGTAACATTAATTTTTGAAAACATCAGCTATAGATATACCTATTGAGCTAATGTTGGAGAATCTGATTAGCATGTACTGAATAATACACAACGTATGCATTTGCATGAGAAAACTTTTGTCCATGTTTGATGCTACAATTTCAACACAATACGAAAGCGTATTTTAAAATTAATGAACACTTTAGAACTTTTCTAAAAACAAACACTTTTTGGTGCGCAAACAACTTCCCAATTTAGAAAAATACTGCAGACATTAGACCTAGGACAGTTCCCAGTTCTATGAACTGTATATTTTCGAAGAACTGGGTATAGTGACCAGCTCTTTGACGAGAACTGTGTGCACCCGGCAGTTCTTTTTGGAGAACTGGTTATTGCAACCAGTTCTTTTTCGAAGAACTGGATTAAGCGTCCGGTTCTTTTTCAAGAACTGGCTACCGTGACCAGTTCTTGGTGAAGAACTTGGTAAAATGACCAGTTCTTTTTCGAGAACTGCTTATTGTGACCAGTTCTTTTTCGAGAACTGCTTATTGTGACCAGTTCTTTTTCAAGAACTGGGCCAAGTGACCAGTTCTTTTTCAAGAACTGGGTAAAGTGACCAGTTCTCTTTCGAGAACCGGGTGTGGGTTTGGGATGGGTTTTGTGTGGGTTGGGTTGGGTGTTGGTGTGTGTGCGTATAAGTCTTCTCTCAGCATTCACACCTAGGGGTGGGAAGTTACCGTTACGTTTCGAGATTATCCTTGGTCCACCAAGTGCTAGCATTACGGGATATACTCGGGTCCTTCTGGAGGACCGAAAAGTACCTCCCAATACTTTGACTTCAGGACGTCAGGGTGCCCCCCCCCCCAATAGTAAGACTTCAGGGGCAAAGGATACTGGCAACATCAGTAATTGTTGGGGCAAGGGTACCACGCGACACTTGCACTGTTTGGGCAAAGGCTGCCGCGTAACTCTGGCAGTGGTTGGACCAAGGCTACCCTCCTTCCTGGCAATTGAACCTGATGGCATGAAGGTTCGACGCAAAATTTGCATAGGTTGGGCCCACATTACCGCGCCACTTTTTGTGGTGGTTGGGCTAAGGATACCCCTCCTCTTTTCTGGCAATTCAACCTGGTGGCACGGCAGTTCGGTGCAAAATTTGCATAGACTGGGCCCACGTTACCGCGCCACTTTTTGCGGTGGTTGGGCCAAGGATACCCCATTCCTGGCAATTAATCCTGACGGCACAACGGTTTGGTGCAAATTTTGCATTGGTTGAACGCACGGTACCACGTAATAGTTGCACTCGTTGGGCTGAGTGTACCCAGCTATACGAGCACTTGATGAGCCAAAGGTATTTGCTAATACTAGCATTTGAGGGCCCAACGGTATCTCCAATAGTGGGGCTTGTCGACACAAGGGTACCCCCAATAGTTGTTCGTGGGGACCAAGGCTATGAGATTGATGATGCTAGGTAGTCCCCTGACCGTTACCTACGTTCTCGGGTAACTGCGAACGAGGCGTTACCGTTCTCGGTGACTGAGAACTTTTTCGTTACCGTTACCGTTCCCAGGAACGGTCTGGGAACGGTAACTTCCCACCCCTAGTTACAGATCAGTTTCTATCAAAGAACTGCTTGAACAGATCAGTTCCTATTAAAGAACTCGTTGGACAGATCAGTTTCTTTCAAAGAACTGGTAGGCACAGATCAGTTCCTATCAAAGAACTGGCTAGACAGATCAGTTCCTATCAAAGAACTGGCAGGCACAGATCAGTTCCTATCAAAGAACTGGTAGGCACAGATCAGTTCCTATCAAAGAACTGGTTGGACGGACCAATTCCTATCAAAGAACTGGTAGGCACAGATCAGTTCTTTTAAAAGAACTGGTTGGACAGATCAGTTCCTATCAAAGAACTGTTTGAACAGTTCTCAAAAGCGGAACTGATATGGAACTGTCCAGGGCCTAGCAGACATCTATGCAAGCTTTCATTCCAAGAGTCTATTTGATAATCTATGACCAACTACTATAGATATCTTCCATATCAGTTTTTGAAGAAGAAAATCTTGATGGTCTAAGTCCAAACTTATGTAACATTCACCTATATTTTTGTTTGTTCATATATGCCCTTGATTTCTTGAGCACTTTGCATAACAGACAGCTTGATAAAATTTTAAAATGAAGACAAATTCAATGCTACAACCTAGCAGAGGTAGATTTTTTTACCTTCGATTTAATTTTTGAGGACCATTAAGTTTTTTTTACTAACACTGGATGTCTTCAGTCGTTGGACGTTTTGAAAACCTTTTGAAAAAACAATAAGCAAACAAAATTTTTTAAAAGTTCGCTGTGTTAAACTGTAGCAGCAAGTGTTAGCTACATTTTAACAGCATCTAAATTCTATATCATTAGAACTAAAGGATAAATCAGAATTACACGCCCTACCATGCTTTGAGTCTTCATGTCACAGCAACTTTTTGAATAAACCAATATTTCATGTTCAGTTTTTCTATTCAGGATTATCCAGGACTAAATACACATTTATTGAGAATTTCGTCATGATCGATTACTGTAGGACAAAAATAAGTTTTTAATTGGGGAGTAGGCCAATAAAAACTTTAGATTTGAGTCAGACGAAAAAGGCAGATAGTCAAGGAAGTTTTAGAGTAAACCAAGTTTAAGCCACTGAAGAGTAATTTTAGTCTGCGTACTACATTACTCTCAGTTAATGACATTCGAAAAGAACATCAAGTTGAGCTCAAAGAAATCTTTTTGAGCTGATACCTCAATCAATTCATCCTTTTTTTTTAGAGTTTACAGATAAGAAACAAACACAGACAACGAATCAATGTAATCAGTTGAACAGCCGAAAAAATGAAAACCGAGGGCAGCTTACTGTCACCATCAATCAAGATATGCCAGGCGCAAAGCGTCTTATTACCTTGGCATTTGTGAGTACTTGTCATTCAGAATAGATAAGAAAAATTCTTGAATTCTATTCAAGCAAAAGCCAAATTCTTATATTTTTCATTGTAGTCACCCTTGTTTCGTAATAAGCCTAGGAATCAGCGACAAGTCTCACAGTCAGAAACATCGACTAATATTAAGAAGAAGGCTGAATTTGCTAATTGGATGTGTTCATGGTCGATTGAACAATCATTATGGTCGAGTCCAAGCTATCAAAAGGCTTTATTAACATATATCGGTAGAATCTACGGACAGAGAGATCATATGTATCGAATCTTTGCTCAACTAAAGAACCACATAAATAAATTAGATGAACTCGATCTACTCAATCGATTAATTAAGGAGACAAAACAACGACATGGTGCGTATTGAATCAAAGAAAGAGAAAAAGAACTTATCAAGTCTAATAAATTTACTTTCTAGACGCCCAAACGTCACTTGATAAATGGGAAGATAATTCTCGAATCAATCGTCGTCTCAAAGATCTTCAAGCTATCTTTGAGTTCAATGGTGATAATAAATCATCGAACCATCCATTCCGTGTCACACCAACCGGTTTACAACAGATAATAGATCGACAAAAGATCAAATCCTACTTCGATTTAGGATGTGGAGATGGAAATATTACAGCTGGAATCGGAGCTTATTTAGGTTTGACTACAGAAGCAATTTTCGGAGGTGATGTATACGAAGTACAAAATAAGGCAATTACATTTATTAAAGTGAATGAAAATCAATCAAATATTGATCTTCGTGAGTCTACATTCTTTTTTTTCGATTGTTTAATTTTATTCTGTTTCTTTAAGCTTCTAATCATGTTGATCTTATAACTTCTTTCGTTACATTTCATCATATATCTCAAATTAAACAGACGCTTACCGAACTTGTTCGCATTCTTCGACCAGGAGGTTATCTTATTTTACGTGAACATGATTGTAAAAAGGAATATTCACTTTCAGCCAAATATCTTAATTTTGTTCATGCTATCATGATGATTGCACGAGTTGGAGAATTTGCTCATTCTTCAAATGATCATGACAGCAAAAATCAACATGTATTGAGTAATGACTATGAAAATGATACAGATAGTTGGACAAAGCAAAAGTCACGTATTATCGAATATATAGAATCAATTTGTTATCGAACATGTGATGAGTTGCAACAGCAACTTGAAAGTGTTGGTTTTCATCTTTGTGCAACATTCTATTATGGTGTTGATGGTTCTAGTAATCCTCAGAAACTATTTTATGCTGTTTACCAACTGGATAGAAAGTAATCAATAATTGATGAATAAAAAACGAAAGAACTTTTATTTTCATGGTTTTTAGAATCCTTATTTTTCAGGTTAATTTTAATTTTGATAATACATATTATTGTCGAATATATTTTTCTTTTGTCTTTTTTTAAATTCCGCAGTCGATTTCTCTAAAATATCTTCTATACCTGAGATTCAGCCATCTTACGAGAGTTCCTAGAGTCTTGTTTTTTTTTCTTACTATTTTCTATAAGAATGCAGTTTTTTGACATCCAAAAAACATTGACATATCTCAGCTAAAAAATATCACAGATACTTTTGAGAAGGCCCATTTGGTAGAGACTTGTTTATTCTAGCATTCTATATAGTCTAAAGAAAAATAAATTCAAACGTTCTACGTGCTGGAAAACTAGAGTTTTGTTTTTTTTTGAAATGTCGGTTTTTGAAAATCTGATAATAATTTTGATTTTATTATATTCTTGTTGGAAACTATTTTCTGTATTTGAATCAATATTTGAGTTCTTTCTAGCACTTACAGCAACAGGCAAAAAAATTGAAAATAAATCTTGCTCAACCGTTTTGGAATTCACTATATAAGTTTTTGGATATTACTCATGTAGAGGGAGGAATTTGTACAAAACAATTCTACTATAAATTAGAAAAGTTACAAATTCTATAAATTTGTTCGTATAGATGATTGAATAAAATCGTTGATTGCATAAAAACAAAATCTATTTATCATGTCAAAGACTCGTTTGCAGACAGTTTACTGCTTTTTCATGTATAGTTTTTATCATTTGATGACTTTGATTTAACAAAAAGAAACTGAATTAAATGCTGTTTAAAAGTTATAGCTTGTAAATAAGATCATAATGATTAATATCATTTTAAGTCAAACAGT